AACCCTATAGAATAGTAGGTTATTACCCTTACCCTAAAACGGTAGGTTTTTGGATCCACAGGTAAATCCTAAACCCTAAACCGTCATGGGCCCCAGGGCTCAAGGTTGGGTGTGGACTTCATGAAGGCCCCTACAAAACGGTTCCTAGAAGAGCTTCAGAGGATGGCCGAAGTTGGATTTTGAGCTGACCCCTAGTTTACCTGTAGTCTCCATTGTAGTTCCCTTTTTTTGGTTTAACCAATTTTATATTAAGACGCCAAACCCTGAAACCCCAAACTCTAGGCCCCTAAACCCCGAGACCCTAAACCTACTTGGAAGGGCAGAGGACTTAGTAAGTAGGTTATCAGTAGGGTTATAATTGGGGTAACTCCATTTAGGGTACTTATAACTCTACTTTTAACCTACTAGCTAAGTCCCCTGCCCTTCCAAGTAGTTTATGAGTCTAAGGGTTTCCCTGTAGCCCATGGAGTTCATTATATGAAGTCTGCAGTTGCAGAGGACGAAGAATTGACCTGCATTCCGCCGGTGGAACTGCAAGGAGACGATGCCGATGCGCATCGGCTGGTATCATGGCAAAGCGCTGTTACATAAGGCGCTACGATCGATTGCATCTTCCTGGCATACTGCCTAGATAATAATCAGGCTACCGAAGAGACGGCTTCGCAACCTGACATGGCTCTGGTTTGGAGCTTGCAACAGATGTCAGCCGCTACATTGTTCGAGCACGATCTCAGGTTTTGTTTATGGGCTCCAAGTCTTAATACGCCCTAAACCCTAAGCCCTTTAAAGGGTAGTTGGGGGGTCCAGGTTAACTCCACCTTAGTCCCAAATATATTATATACTTGTTTAGGACCTCTATAAGGAAATCACAAAAGCGAGACCTAAAGAGGGAGGTTCCAAGCCTTAAACGCCTCAAAAACCTATAAAATTGAATCCTGAACATTAACGCTACAACCTAGAACCCTAAACCCCAAATCCTAAAACCCTGAACCCTAAACCCCAAACCCTAAAACTCTAAACCCTAAAACCTAAAACCCGGGATACAAATGAGGTAACTATACTTGTAAGTACTTATAACCCCTGTCCAGGTACTTATAACTGTACTTACTAAGTACAATGAACCTCCAAGTAAAATCCTAAACCCTAAAACCCTAAACCTTTGATCCCAAAGCCTAAAACCTTAAAACCCTAAGCCTTAAAACCCTAAACACTTAACCCTACACTCTCGTCCCCTTATAAGAACCCTTAAAGGAACCCTCATAGATCCCTTTAAAGGAACCCCAAACCCTGAAAGCTAAAACCCGAATGTTTGCAGGGCAAAGGCCGAAGAACTGGTCGTTTCGGCGAGTCGATGACGATCCACCAGGACGTTTTCGGAGTTTAGGGGTTTTAGGGGTTTAGGGGCTTAGGGGTTTAGGGGTTTAGGGGTTTAGGGGCTCAGGGGTTTAGGGATTTAGGGATTTACGGTTTAGGGTTTCGGGGTTTAGGGGTTTAGGATTTCGGATTGTAGGGGTTTACGTTAGGACATTATTTTGAGGACTCTTGGGGGTATGGACCCTCTCGAAAAGGTCCCTTTCGAGAGAGCCAGAAGTAGGGTTCAGAAGGGTGCCCTTCAGGAGGTCTCCCTCATACTACTTAGGACGGTTGGGCGTGGATGTTATGAAGGTGTAGGGTCTCGGGTTTGGGTTACATATACAGGGTGGCAATGTCGAGGGTTGTCGGATGTGGGGTTTAGCGTTCGGTATTGATTTTAGCAAGCTGGTTAAGGATCCCACAAAATGATGACTAACATTTTCGGGATTTCGGTTGGGCTTTCGGTCGGGACGTATGGATTGCACATTGGGGCTGGGTAGGCAACACTAAACCCTTGTGTGTGTATATGCATGTATGTGCATGAGCTTGTGTACTAATATGCATGTATGTATGTATTTATGTTTTTTGTATGCATGTATGTGGGTAGGTGGCAGGTAGGTAGGTCGGTCGGTCCGTAGGCAGGCATTGCAACGCACATGCGTACATACATGCACGTTTCAGATCGTCTGGTGGATCGCTGTGTATTGTTAGGAGCTGTTACCTCAAGGGTCCAAGTACCCAATAATCATATACTTTCCAAAATCCTAACCTACATAACTACTACCCTACCTGATTCTTGGGTCCTTTGGACCCTTGGCGTTAGAAACTAGATGCTCAGTGGACCTTGAACTTCCAAAGGCCTAATGCCCAAACCCCGATCCCAAAGGCTCCATGTACCCCCTTATAAGGGTTCCTTTCAGGGTTCTATAAGGCTTCCTTTAGAGGGGTCTATAGGGTTGAGGGTATAAGGGTCCATGGTACCTCCATAGCAGATACTTAGGCCTTAAAGGGGTCCCTGTATAGGTACTTTAAGGCCTCAGTATCTACTATATGTACCCTAAACCCTATAGTTCCTTTGCAACCCTAAACCCTAAAACCCTAAGGAACCCTTAAAGGAATCCGATTTTGGGTACATGAAGCCTGCGAACCCTTCAATGTAAAGTTCGCTGAAGCCCTGGGCGCAGGTTCCCCTCGAGGTATTATTATAGAACCCGGGATATCTAGGGTTTCTTTTTAAAGGGATCCTTAAGGCTTCCTTTAAGGGTTCCCATAAGGGATCTATAGGGTTTAGGGTTTTGGGGTTCTATAGGGGAGTTTCCGAAAATTAGGGGTACCTTAGTTTGGGGTTCCTTGTAATCAGGATCCTACTATTTAGGGATATTAGGTCCCCTACTTTCGGAAACTCCCATATAGAACCCGGGATACTTGCCAATACTGTTTCCTAGGATTCCTATTACCACCGTTATTATTAATTATTATTCTAGTTTACTATGACCCAAAACCCTATTCACCAATTCCAATTGTCTTGGCCCACATATATTACTTGGGACTTACTTCGGCTGAAAGAGGTTACACAATGCTCAGCTTTGAAGGCATTGGGTTGAGATACGCCTGTTTAACTATGTTCCCCGCTTCGGCTTATACGACTTCTTAATATGGAGGGTGCCACGCTCTCGAACATGTTTAGGGTATACGGTTTTCCCTTGATGTCAGCCCCTATGCAGCTGTTTCGCAGGACAAATTCCGAGATCACATGCGGCTTTGTTTCAGCTGGCTTTCCAAAGATGAAATGCACGAAGGCCTAGAATTCCTGCGCGACCCAGCGCCAGAGGCCGAAGCAAAAAGATGGCTTCATAGAACAAGGAACCCTGACATGTCGAGCCCTAAACCGCCCTAAACCCTAAACTTCCTAAACTCTTGCCCAGAGGGTCCAAGTACCCAAATAGTAGGGTTTTAGGTCCCAAAATCCATACTCTGAATGGTTTTTGGATCTAGAAACCCTACTATTTGGGAACGTGGACCCTTAGGGCTATAGATCCCTGGCCCAATATACCCCAAAACCCACAAAGGCTCTATATCACAGTACCCTTATAGGATCCCCTATATAGATCCCCTTTTTAAGGTTCCTAAACTCTTGAGCCCAACTCCGAAGCAACCCAAAGCTCCGCAAACCCACCATCAATTTTCAGAAATACGGCCTCATGACCTTGCAAACCTGTGACCCCAAACCCTACAAAATAGTAGGTTATGACCCCTTAAATGGAGGGCCTGACCCTTAAAGCGGTAGGTTTTTGGATTCCAAGGAAAGCATGGGCCTAGCAGCAGAGTAGGTAGCCTTCAACCTTTTTTGGGGTACTGTAATCCCTACCTGGGGATCCAAAAACCTACCGTTTTCAGGGTTCGACCTTCTAATTAAGGTCATAACCTTCCTGTGTTCTAGGGCCTGGGGATACAGGTATATGATCCCAACATGCTCCCAAAGGTTAATCTGTACTTCCCCCGGATGCCGGACAAGTAGGATGGAAAAGCGCGAAAGCCCATTGCGGGTTTAATAGGGTTTAGGGTTTATAGGCCTTTAAGGAAGCCCCCATGCTAGGTTCACAGTGTAGGGGTTTGCAAGTTTTACCATTTGTCAACTATACAGAGTCTACCGCAAAACCCTAAACCCCTAAACCCTAAATCGTTCGCCATTGGACTTACTTCGTCTTTCGGCTTTTGGAGTAACCCTTGCCTTGATGTACTTTACTTCCGGACTCTACACCCTACCTGCGAATCCAAAAACCTGCCGTTTTGAGGGTTAGACCCTTGAGTTTAGGGTTGAGGCTTTAGGGTTTAGGGGTCATGACCCACTATTTTGTAGGGTTTGGGACAACAGCACCGGTCGTACAGTCACGGTGTGATACTTGAATGGCGGTTTTGGTTTTCTCTGAGCAGCTCGCTACCCCGAGCGGATAAAGCAGAACCCCGAAAAAGGCCTATGTAAAGCTTCAGCCGCACAATAGTAACATGATGTTACATGATACCTCTCCGGGGCTGGGTTGAATGGTTACATCCTTTAAGGTGTCTGGGTAAGTGCCAACTGGGGTTTCCTTATTGTCATGTAGAAATAGAGAGATACTCGTTCAAGACTCAAGACTCCTTGTGGCCCTTACAACACAACCCTGTATCCCCAAAACCGACAAAATGGTGGGTTATGACCCCTTAATCAGAGGGTCTAACCCCTAAACAGTAGGCTTTTGGATCCCCACAACCCTCAACTCTCAAACCTAAAGCGAAAACTGCAACCCAAACTCGGAGCCCGTGTAGAAACCCAAGGACCCCAACAAAAAGACTTCACTACCCTCCACCTTGGGATCCGAAAACCTACCGTTTTAAGGGTTCGACCCTCTAGTTAAGGGGTCATACCCTACTATTCTGTAGGGTTTGGGGATACAGGCTGATGCAACCGTTCAAAGGTCTGTAACCCAGAAAAACCATCCGAAACAGCCCTGAACCCAACAACCGCAGAACCTTCGATGCCGCCACGGTCCTATACCTTTTAGAGGAAGACCTAGAGGCACCCTCAAAGACACGTCTACTAAACCCGAAATCCTAAACCCTAAAACCCCTAATCCCTAAAGCCCCGAAACCCTTGAATCCTAACCAAGGAGATGGATCGCGACGGGAACGCTGGGGTGCTCTTTGAGCGGATGGCCCGGGCTCTGGCTCCTTGGCCCAAGGATGTACCGTAGGTTTAGGGTTTAGGGGTTCCTTCAAAGGGGTTCTATATAAGGGATCTACAGGGTTTAGGGGTTTATGGTTTAGGGTTTCTTTTGGGTTTAGGGGTGTTTGTCTTAGGGTTTAGGCTTCACGTTTTTTATGGTTGAGGTGTTAGGCTTTCAAGAGTGTATTCTGGAGCGTGCCTTAACCAACTTAAGCCACTGTGCAGAGCGCCCACAGACAAGTTCGATAATAGTGGCTGCTAGATCAGGACCCTACACGCAAGTACCATGTCAAACGGGCATACCAGATAAACTTGCCGGCACACATCCACTTGTTCTTGGACTTCTTCACCGCGTTAGTGGTGCATTTTCGGCTCTTGTGGATCCCACAAACCAGGCCCATCAGACCTGGCGCCCAAAAAGTTCCTCCAGGCTGGTCAATGGGCAATGAAGAAAATCGGACAACTCTCCACCAGTGAGCACGGCCGGTGCGTCTGCGCGCAGTTCAAGCATTGGGAGCCAGTACGTGGTCTTGCCGTGCGCAAGCGCAATGCCTTCGTGGGGGCCTGGGCCAACTGAGCGGTAGAACCCTTAAGATTTTTTATCCCCAGGTAAGCGGCTTAAGGTAAAGCGCGAAACGCGGTAGTTTTTTTGTACGTGCCCTTTAGGGTTTTGGGTGTATTTTGGTTTAGGGTTTAGGGCCTTCCTCTAGACGAGTTAGGAAGCCCATGCAGTAGACCTGGTTATAAAACGCTTAGGCAGCCTCTGGTTCTACTCCTGAAACCGAAAGACCTAAAGCACCACAACCCCCCAAGCCCAAGACCTTAAACATGCCAACAGAACCCGATAGAACCCCTAGATGTGTTAAAGGAAACCCTTCAACAACCGCAAACCCCAAGCCCCAAACACCCCAAACCCCGAAACCTAAAAGAAAGAAGCCCGAAACCATAAACCAACCTAAACCCCATAAACCCTAAACCCCCCCAACCGCCCTAAACCCCGGACCCTAAACCCCTAGACCCTGATAAAGCCTAAACCCCTAAAACCCTAAACCCCCAAACCCGAGACTCATAAACTACCTGTGGATCCAAAAACCTACCGTTTTAGGGGTTAGACCCTATAACTCAAGGGTAATAACCTACTATTCTATAGGGTCTGGGGCCCTAAACCCTAAACCCCAAACCCCTAGACTCTATAGATGCCTGAAAGGAACCCTTAAGGATCCCTTAAAAGGAACCCTAGGGATAGACTCATAAACTAGGGGGCAACTCAAAGTCCAACCCACTCCCCAACCTTAGATCTCCAATACCAAACCCTTTAAAGGGACCCTTAGGTTCTATAGGGGTTTATAGGGTTTGGGGGTTTAGAGGTTTGGGGTTTAGGATCTATAAGGGTCCGTTTAAGGGATCTACCTTAGATACCAAACCTTTAAACTATATGGGTGGTTGTCGAAATTAGAGTCCCTTTTTGGGTCCCTAATATAGTACGGCACCTTCTATTTAGGGTGCCCAAAAAGGGACCCTGATTTTGACAACCACCCATTTGGGTTCTTACAGTTTAATAGGAGCCGGAAAGTTTAACCTTTGATTTCTCTGCCTTATTGGGGTAGTAACCCCCCCAAACCCCCCGACCTGCAACCTCCCCTAAACCCTATAGAAACTAAACACCCGAACCCTAAACCCCTAAACCGCAAAGCCCAAATCCCCGCAATCCCCCACCCACCTCCCCGAGAGGTCCTTAGCTCCCCTGCACGTGGGGACCTCGTGGAGCGGCAGGCCCAAGATAAAGTTGAGGGGTTTTGAGGTTTGAGGGTATGGGTTTTGATCTTTAGGGTTTCGGGGTTTGGAGGTTAAGGGTTTAGAGGTCTTTCGACGTTATAACAGGAATGAGCCTTTCAGGGCTCGTTATCATGATTTCCTTATGTATGTCCTTCAACAGGTAGGATTTTTTAAGGCCAGGTAGAGCTTGTTCATGCACTCCGGACTGACGTACTACCTGATGAACACGCTGGCTAGCAGAGTATCCAGATGTCAGCATTGCTGGAATCAAGACGGAAACCCTAAACCCGACCTGCATCCCCAAACCCTACAAAATAGTAGGTTATGACCCCTTAATTAGAGGGTCTAACCCCTAAAACCGTAGGCTTTTGGATCCCCAGGGAAGCCCTAAACCCTAAACCCTAACTTCAAAACTCACAAGGCGAGGAGCTGGTCCAATAGCCCTGAACTCCACACCCGACCCAGAATCTCAGGTTTGGACTTCCTTCGTAGTGGGATTGTCAACTATGCTGCGCGGGCATACGCCCGATTTCTATATCCCCAGTCAGGGTACTTACAACTGTACTTACTAAGTCCCATGATCCTCCAAGCAAAGCCTAAACCCTACAATCTAGAGATCCCGTTAAGGAACCCTACAGATCCCTTTAAGGCACCTTTTACGGAACACTTACTCACTAAGTCCCATGATCCTCCGGTAGGCAGGGTGTACTTAGAGGTTCATGGGACTTAGTAACTAGGGTTATAATTAAGGTAACTATACCTATAATTACTTATAACCCCAGTTAGGGTACTTATAACTGTACTTACTAAGTCCCATGACCCTCAAAGTAGACCCTAAACCCTAAACCCTATAGATCCCTTTAAGGAACCCTGTAGATCCCTTTAAGGAACCCTACGGTAGGCAGGGTGTAACCCTTGTTTCGGAGGCCGCGGCTCGGCGCCGAGCCATGGCCAGAGCGCTTCTCATCCAGGCCGCAGAGAGTGGGCTTCATGATGCTTCATGCATACATATGTATCTATAGATATACATAATAAATCATTTAAGTATATATATATATATATCTATATATATATATATATATACATGTATATATGTATGTGTATGAAGGTACATGAGCATTTCTAGTCTATATTGATAGAAAGATACAGATAAAAGCTTAGATAGAAAGATGGGGGCATAGATAGATAGACAGATAGATACGGTTTCTTTAGTGTTGCTCTCAAAGGCTCTAAACTTCCATATAGAGTTTAGGGATTGTTTTTGTTTGATTGGGTGCTGTAGGTGTTCTATACGGTCAGGGATTTTTGTGGGGTTCTAAAGGACCTTTTATTGGTTGCAGTGTTTCCTTCTTAAATGGTTTTATATGGTTATGTGTTGTTTTGCAGGGTTAGTTTTAAAGGTATTTTTATAGGGTTTAGGGTTTAGGTGATGATGTAAGGTTTGTGGGTTGAGAGGGTTCTAGGCTCCGTATTGAAAGCTAAGGTTCCTTTTCATGGCACTACAAGGGTTCCCCAAGGGTCCATGGTACCCAAAACAGGATTCCTTTAAAGGGTTCCTTCAAAGGGTTCCAAAAGGGATCTATAAGGTTTAGGGTATTTAGGATTTTGACGGTTTCAAAGTTCTTAGCTAAAGGTCACGTCTAGAACCCGTGCAGGACCTGAACATGGAAACCCCAGGGTTTAGGGTGACGCCGGACTTCATGCTAAACTCTCATCAAACCCCTGAGATGCTCAAACACATGTTTCAGCTAAATCCTAGACACAATCTTAAGCGCAAAATCCTAAACCATAAATCCTGCACCCTAAACCCTACGCTCTAAACCCTAAGCCCAAACCCTAAGCCCTAAACCCTAAATCCTAAACCGCAAATCCTAAACCTTAAACCCTCGACCTCAAAGGGCTTCAGGGTTTCCCCAGGCCGGTCCTCTGGTCGCCCAAGCGACCGCGGATGGCCTTGCAGACTTGTCCCATGCATTGGCCTTACAGCAGGGTTTTGGGTGTTAGGGTTTAGGGATTAGGCGTTCAGGGGCTCAAGGTTTAGGGGTTCGGGGGTTTGGGGCGTAGGGCTTTGGGGTTCAAGGTTTAGGGGTTTCGGGTGTAGGGCTTACTTTCAAGGTGTACAAAAATGTTTAGGGTACTTTGGAGGTACCGAGCAACCAATGTAACATTAAAAGCGATGTGACTTCAAATATAGGTACATGTCCGTTTTTGCTGGACCTTAGGTTCTCCAGGTAGGGTTAGGGCTTTCCTAAACGGGTTTCGGGTTAGGTAACTATAGGGGCTATTTTCGGGTTTGGGGAGCGGTTTAGCATTTTGCATGGTTTCATTCAAAAGAATGTTTAATATACAATGCTGGCCCAGGCAGAACCAACCTAAGCAACGGGCCCTTAGCCAACCGGGAACGGCGGAGGTTCGCTTGGGGGCGGGGGGTTTCTGATCAAAGGGCTCCTGAAAGGTGATTAGTTACCGGTATTATTCCTTAGGGTTTCTTAGAATTGCAGTACGTATACCCTCCCTAAACCCGAAACCCAAAACCCCTAAACCTTAAACCGGAAAACCCTAAACCGAAAGCCGATTAAGTTGATTGAGGCCCCTATGTGTTTAGGGTTTAGGGTTGTAAGTTTATGGTTTTCGGGCTTGTGAAACCTTAAGGCTTCCTGTGAAGGGTTCCTGTAAGGGTTCGATAAGGGTTATTCAGTTTAGGGTTTAGGGTTTAGGGTTCCTGTAAGGGTTCGATAAGGGTTATTCCAATGTCTGAATAGTTGGGAGTACTGTTCCTTAAAACGTTCCTTATCATAATTCTCGTCGATCCTCCTCCTCCTCCTCCTCCCAAAAAAAGAAGCCAGTTCCATTTGCTCTAGGGTTAAGGGTTTAGGGTGGGTTTAGGGTTTAGGGGTTCAGGGTGCATTCAATTAAATTGTTGTGTTGCGTTTGTCTGTCCGGTTTAAGGGCTCAGGACCTTGGAAAGCGGGACTTACGGAAGCCACATGTACATACAGAGAGCCCTGAGCCCAAAGGTTAGGGTTCAACGCTTAATCTGGAGTTTAGGGTTTAGGCTTCAATACAGATTGTCGGGTGTAGGCCTCAAACCTCAAAGCCAAAACCCTAAACCGAATAACCCTACACCTAGCAGAACCCTTCCAAAGGAAACCTCTCAAAAGACATTCCCTAAGTGTCCATGTACCCAAATTATACACTTTGGCCTTAGCGTACTCCTTATATAGGTACATTGGGGCGTAAGTCTGTACTATTTGGGTACATGGACCCTTAGGGATTTTGCTAAGCTCTACCATGGCTTAGATCTCGATGCTCATAGAGATGCAGCTGAAGACCCTCGATGCCCAGGCAGAGCGACTAGGCTTCAGATTTGGGTTTTCAGAGTTTGGGCTTGACAAAGTTATTTCTTTCAGGTGGTTGGGGTTCAGGATTCCTTGTTTAGGGTTACGGGGGGTTACATGATTTGAGGGTTCAGACTTCGGAAGTGTGTGAAGATGTGCAAGCTTCGCTGAGAGAAGATGACCCTGAACCCTTAGCCGTAAACAAACCACTTCACATCTTCAGCCGCAGTTTCTCGAACCCTCAAAGCTGAAATGCTCTGGTTGGGCCGTGAACGACAAGTCTACCTACCATCATACCCTAAACCCTAAACCCTAAACCTTAAACCCTAAAGCCTAAACCCTAAACCCTAAATCGGCCCATAGGGCTGGCCCGGATATCAGGTAACCCTAAGGTTTAAAAGAAATTGCTGAGATGCCTTTCCATCTTCATGTTCCTTAAGCCTAAGCCTAGACCTTTTCCTAAGCTCTGCATCTTAAACCCTACATTCTATACCCTAAACCCAAACCGCCAAGAGCTTCCTATGGGCCTTCTAGTAGAGCCGCTACCCAGACCCTGGGGAGGATCAAAAAGTAGATCCCTTAATGGGGCGGGTTCCTATAAAGCACCCTTAGTATAGGGCCCAAGTTAGGGTATCTACTTTCCCTTATAGATCCCTAAACCTAAACCCTAAACCCTAAAGGATCCCTTAAAGGAGCCCTTTTAAGGAACCCTATGAAAGCCCCCAAATTAGGGGATCTACTTTTTCTAGATCCTCCCGGGGGTTTGGGTATGGTTCTCATTGTGGGTAGAGGTAGTTTGGGCGGGGGGGCGCGGCCCAGGCCCGAATAGGGTTTAGGGGCTCCTTTAAAGGGATCTATAGGGGTACCTTTAAGGGCTTCCTTTAAGGGATCTATAGGGTTTTAGGGGTTTAGGGGTTTAGGAGTTTAGGGTTTTGGCGTTTGGTGTTTAAAGGGTTTAGGGGTTTAGGGGTTAGGGTTTAGGGGCTAGGGTTTAGGGCAAACCCATAACCCTAAGCCTTGCACAATGCATTCAAAAGCCCAAACCCTGAACAATTGAAATCCAGACCACCCAAACCGTCCAAAATGCCTGGCAGAAGACAAACCCTAAAACCTTTAACCCTAAGCCCTTAAGCCCCGAACCACTCAATATGCTTCCCACAGGACGCTGAGGAGCGACGTTCTCTTGGGGCTGGTACATCCGCTGTCGGTATCGAGTGACGAAAAAGCAGGACTTTGGATACCTTCAAGGGTTCCTGTAAGGGTTCTTTAAAGGGCTGCTTCAAGCGTTCTATAAAGCATCCAGAACCTTTTAAAGGTCTGCCGTTACATATATTGTTCTCTCGATGTTCTTGTAGGATTTTCACAGCGTTTTTGTTTATGGCTGTCCTTCAAAGGGTCCTTTAAAGTGTGTTATCAGGGTCCTTCAAGCTTATGAGGATTAGGGTTTCGGGGTTTGAGGTCTCGGGTTTGGGTCCGGTTTCATCATGCTTTAAGCCCAGGCCTCATAACCATCACACACTACGAGCCCTAAACTCGTCTGAGCTTTGTACTTGCGATAACTCCCATGATGCACCTGGAGCTCCCAACCCTACAAAAGTAGTAACATTGGGGATCGAAATAGCCCAGAAGCCTTATGTAGCATGGTCTTCGGGCCCCAAAGCCTTAATACATGAGTCCTTAGATCCCTAGGGTAAGTGATGACCCCTGATAATAATGTCTACCCCGTAAATAACTGTAGGTTTTTGGATCCACACGTAAACCCTAGACCCTACAACCCAAAACCCTGTAGATCCCTTATAGGCACCCTAAAAGTACCTTGGGATCCAAAAACCTATTGTTTTAAGGGTCAGGCCCTTTAATTAAGGGGTCATAACCTACTATTTTGTAGGGTTTGGGGATACAGGTAAGGCCCCTATGTTACCCTCCCAACCTTAGGGTTTAGGGGTTTCTGGGTTTAGGAGTTTAACCCTAAAAGTAACCCTTCGGGTCCCAGCCCTAAGGCTCCAAGCACCGAAAATGCATAGCCCCCTCAAAGCAAGAACCTGCAGCCACAACACATATCTTTCGTCTTAGCAGCTGAGGTAAGCTTTAACCTTTCGGGGTATACATATATATATATATATACATTCCCACCATAGAACTGAATTGGTTAGTCTTTTTTTGGGGGGGGCTAGGCTTCTCTGCCCCTAAGTGGTGATCCCAAGAAAATTGGAACATGGAACTAGGTTTTTTAGTGCTGGGATTCCCAGGGTATGAGGGTACGGCCATGATGTTCCAACTATCCGGCTTTAACTTTTAACTGCTTGCAAGTACTCTGGAACCAGCAACGGAAGCTCCGAAACTCGAAGAAATCCTTCATATGTTTTACGGAATATTGCTTAGTTTAGGGATACTGGAGTCTTGGAGTAGAATCCCTAAACCCTATAGATCCCTTACAGGAACCCTATAGATTCCGGGCCTTCTACGGCCCTTGCAAAGCCAAAACTTGAACTGGAGCTCTTTGTACATGGCGGCGCCGGACGATAGCTCTAAGCCCTCCGGCCCAAACCCAAACACTTCGAGCCCCAATACCTAACCTGAACCTTTAAACTTTTTGGGTTCTTATTGGTTAGTAGGAGTCGGAAAGTTTAACCCCTTTATTCCTGTGGCTTATTGGGGTAGTAAGAACACCAAGCTCTCCACCCTAAATCCCTGAGATTCCCATAGCTGCCACCGTCCCTACCCCAGAAAACCGAAGGCCCCAAAGCCTCAAGCTTTTCAACAAATATGACATATATATATATATATATATATGTATATATACACACGCATATTTACTGATAGTACAGCGCATGTATGTTTGTATACATACATATATATATATATATATATATATATATATATATATATCAACTTATTGAGGTAGTCCTAAGAGTAGGCCTGGCTCCAGGTGTTCTGTGTTTGCTGGATGCATTGCGGTTTAGGTTTTCAGGGCTTAGGGTTAGATGTGTAGACGTCCAGGTTTAGGGCACAAGGTTAGTCAGATTTGGGAATGTAGGGAGGGTTCAGGGTGGATTAAAGTTGCAGGTTTGGGGTTCAGGGTGTAGGGTTGATCGAAACGAGAACAGGCTGGCTCCGTCTCTAGATCTCAACCACCACCACGTGCTGTCGAAAGTCTGCTACATCCTGAGCCTTCACGATAACACCCCCAAATCCCTATAACTCTGTAGAGCAGTATAAAGCCTCATATCAAGCACGCGTATACATGCATCATACAGTTTCTTTTGCACTCTCAACCCCCAGACCCATAAATCGAAAAAGCAATCCATGAACCAATCTTGCTCGGTGCAGGCACACCGCCGAAGCCCTTGACGCTGATGCAGCGGAGCGAGGCGCGAGCGGATTTCGGTGTCGTAGGCGTCTTAGGGTTTAGGGTTTAGGCCTTTAGGGGTTTATGGTTTGGGGTTTATCGTAACCGGTAGACTTCTTAGAGTGATAATGATTTACAGGCCTTCATAAGCCTTTGGCTATTTTCCATTGTTTAGTTTTTCGAAATCAGGCTTCTTCGGGTAATCCAGTTTGTACCAGCGTTTAGGAATGTTTTGGTGGCTTTATGGTTTCGGTTAGGAGATTGAGGGCTGGGGATGTTCAGGGCAATGGCGGGTGGGCGTGCATCCGAGCTGTGTGTCAGGCGGTTTGGAGCGAGTACTTTCAACGGCCAGGTTTTGCGTTTAGGGGTTTAGGGTTTAAGCTTTAGGGGTTTATGGGTTAGGGTTTATGGTGTTAGGGTTTTGGAGCGAGTACTTTCAACGGCTAGCAGAGTGAGCTCAGGAGACAGGTGCTTGAATGTTACGGTTACAGCGCGGGGCAGGGGGGAATGAGTGGAATGTGTGAGCCTTCAGAATTCTACCAGGGAGGCTACGGACCTGTGACACAGTTCAATACAACACGCCACAATTCTGCAGACAACAATTTTGCAAGAGACCGGCTAAACCTAAAACCCAAGACCTTGTAATGTAGAGGCCTGAATAAGTGTAGGAAGGGATCGGGCCTTATATACCTCGGTTGTCTTAAGAACTATTAGAGCGTCCTTTTGCCTATTGCTCATGTTTTCCTACAGAAAACTCAAAACCCCAAAGCACCATTTCCTTGAAGCTCCACCTAAACTCTGAACCCTAAACCCTAAAAGGCTCTTTTTCCAGAAAGCCCTGAAACCTGAGCTGCAGATCTTCTGCAAAAGAATGGCCCCCGTGGAAGAAGCGGCGGACGAGCCGGAGCGCACGGCTCTCGGCGTCTTCGTGAAGCTATTGTCTTTCCAATCGTGGCCTCAATAACCAGAATGTTCTTTTGGTGGTAGTCGTAAATGTTCAACACAACCGCATCAAGACTATATGGGGATACGACTACTCCGTTACTAATTACTCCGACCTTTGTCGTGGACTTATCGAAGGGAGGGTATTTTGGTTGTTTTTTTCATGTTTTAACAGTGCTAACTACCCTGTAAATATGGGGCAAGGGTATATGACATACTTGGAAGGGCAGGGGACTTAGTAAGTAGGTTATAAGTAGCGTTATCAGTACCCTAAATGGAGTTACCCCAACTATAACCCTACTTATAACCTACTTACTAAGTCCCCTGCCCTTCCAAGTATGTTACCGTCAGAGATTTTTAGAGATGAAGGGGTGTCAGGGTTGACGGTGTAGGGTTCGGACTTTCATGGGGATCCAAAAGCCTACGGTTTTAGGGGTTAGACCCTCTAAATTAAGGGGTCATGACCTACTATTTTGTAGGGTTTGGGGATGCAGGTGTGGCTTATTGGGTGTAGTGAGTAGGGTTCAGCGATTAAAGGTGTAGGGCTTCTGCGCTTGAGGTTGTAGGGTTTAGGGTGTGCGTTTTAGAACATAGGTTCAATATGGGTTCTTCAGTTTAGCGAGACCTGGAGGTGTTGCGGTTGCGGGCTTAGGAATTGTGAAGCGTGCTAGACTTCCCTCTTAAAGCAGACATGGCCCCGATCGTTGTTGTTTTCGTGTTAAGGATGAAGCACAGACATGGAACCCAAAACCCTGAAGAGGGTTTGGCGGGTTTTTGGGTGGTAAACCCGTAACCCGAAGGAGCCCCGACAGCGAGCAAGCCTTCAACCCGAGGCTAATTCCAGGCCTGAGACCTCACGAAGAACTCTCTCAGGGTCCACCTGTGGATTCGAAAGCCTGAAATTAGGGCTTTAGGTTTCTATTCTACCCTGGCCTCAAATTTAGGGGGTCATAGCCTACTATTTTGTAGTGCTTGAGGCTGCCGGCATGTATCCATGTAGTATGTACTTTCTTTTTGTTTCAACCACCTATACTTACACACCACACGGGGTTTGCAGCAGGAGGCTACACTTCGCTGAGGTTGAGGGACTTTCGAGGTTTTCGGTGCTCGTGGACTGTTGAGGCTGTATATAATACAGGTGTTTGAGTTTGGTGACTAATTAGTCTACATAGGGCTAGTCCTTAAAGGAACGTTCCTTGCACTCCTAATGTTCTGAGGTAAGTTGAGCCGACGGGACTCGAACACAAGCAGCTGCGTCGAGGCCAGAGAAGCTTTCCAGTTTGATTTAGGGTTTGGCCTACAGTTAAGTGTTCCTGGGGATCCAAAAACCTACCGTTTTAAGGGTCAGACCCTCTAATTAAGGGGCCATAACCTACTATTTAGTAGGGTTTGGAGTCACAGGTTTACGGTTAGTTCGGCAAACAAGAAATCACAAGGTTGGCAGGGTGGGCTTGAGCCGAGACAAAAACCCACCTGCCCAAAGAGCCCATAACATGAAGAAAGCAACAAAGCATTCATGTTTTCAGTGTTTCGGCATTGACCTAACTTCTTTTTGCAAAGTGCATTTTCTCTGGACAACCGGGATTCGAGCAATGTTCGGTTCGACCTTATTCTCGGGAAGAGCTTGCAGCTCACAGGTGCTCGGTTCAACCTTGTTTTTTGGACAAGCTTGAAGAGAATTAGCTGTCTACTTAGGCCCCTATAGGCACATATCCCTCTCGACAGCCGGAGTAGTGAGGATAACTTAGGGTTTGGGTTTTTAAGGGTTCAGGGTCTAGTCGACTGCAGAGAACAAATTGAACAGCAGACGCCCAAGGCAAATCGTGAAATCCTCAAACCCCATCCCCAACCAACGCGTGCTCAACCCTTCAACAACGAAACCTTAACCCATGGTACCCTTAAAAGCGGCCCTACACCCTCAGTCCAA